TGCTTTCTTAGAGAAGTCAGCTGCTTGTAGTTGCTCTGCTGTAGAAATTATACTTGGCTCTTGTGAACCCATTTTTACGTTTTTGAGATTGTACACGCTGAAGTCAAGAGGTTTCTCTGTCTGTGCATTTATGGAGTCCTGAAACATTTTGGAGAACCGCTCAAGATTCATGTTCATAATCCTGTCTCCTTTCTAAAGAGCTGAAAAAAAATCAACAGGTGCATTTAGGAGCTGCGAGTCACACTGATTTTTTCCTGGTATCCACAGAACTTAATCTTCATTGAACAGAGGTATTTTAAAACCACAGAGCGTCACCTTTGGTTTGATTTTTTAATGTAGAATATTTGAAATATTTTCAGTGATTTGTTCTAAAACATGGCTCTCCTCTGGGGTTGCACATGCATAAAGGTGCTTCCCAGCCCTATCAGTCAAAAGAGTGTATATATATTCTTCATCCATGTAAACGTAATAGCCACAATCTCCTGCCTCAGCCGGCCACCACATTCCCTGCTCTAACAGGGACAGCCACTGCTGGTACCACTCAGAATCTTCAAAGAACATGTCATCCTCTATATCTTCACTGGCAGCTACAGTGCTACTGAGATCAACTGCACCTGGAGTCAAATCCAATGGCCCCTTTTTTTCAGTGAGTCGTCTGAAGAATCTTGAGTCATATTTCAAATCTAAATGTGGTTTTTGGGTCATTTTCGAGGCATTTTTGCCATTTAGTCTAAAGTCTGACATTGACTGGCACAAATATTTTTTTGCTGGTACATCTGTTGAGAGGTTTATAGCAGTGGTTTTCTCCATCCAAGTCTTTTTGCTTCTTTTATCACCGAAACCATTTAAATTGTCACAGCCTCCCCAGGGATTCTTGTTTGTGCTACTCATGTCAAATACAATAATATCATCTCCATTTGCTAGTGGAAGACTACTTTGAAATGGCAGGTTGACAACATCCTGCCAAGGATGTGAGGGTATATGGAACTGACTAGGATGCATGTTTTTTAAGTTCCACCATTCAGGTGTCTCTACAACCGGTTCAGAGAATAATGGCATTTCCACTTGATTTACAAAATAACAGTCTGGAACTTGTGTTGCTAGGGTCTCCAATAGAGCACAATCATTCAGTTGCTTCCAAAGAAGAGCTTCTATGAGACAATGATGTTCATACAGTTCTGGGGGAATCACACCATGCAGAATACCTGCACCACTATTACAACTACTTTTGGGGTGGTTCTTTGATTTGAGAAGGAAGTTTAGATGAAGTGTCTTCCTCTGAGGCATTGCTAAATAATCCAGACAAGAAAACTTTTTGTGCTGAAACTTTTTGATCTTTTTCTGCACCTCCATCTTCAGAGGACATAAGTTCAACTGGTTTGGTTCTCTGAATCTGTGGGCGACCTTGACTAGGTTTAATTCCAGAACGGTCTTGTTTCTGCTGTTTTGGTTTCTGATTAGGGGAAGCTTCACTCGTTGCTATTGGTTCTTCAGCTGTTGTAGTAAGTTTGCTCAAAAATCCAGATATGATGCCACTAGACTCATTTTGCTGATTGTTGGCACTTTGAACAGATATATTTGCTGGCTGATTGCTTGACTGGTGTTGTGTTACTCCTTGTGACACAGTCTGCTGTGGTCATTAATGATCATGTTGTTGAGGTTGTACATCAATTTAAATACCTTGGTACTGTAATAGATGAACAGTTGACCTTTGAGGCTCATGTGGATGCTGTGTGTAAGAAAGCCCACCAGCGTATGTTCTACCTGCGGAAGCTTTGTAGTTTTAAGGTGGACAGTACTTTCATGAAGATGTTTTACTCTTGTTGTATTGAATCTGTCATTACTTTTTCATTTGTGTGTTGGTATGGGTCACTAAACGTTAAAAACAGGAACAGATTGCAGGGTATTTTTAAAGTGTGTGGTAAGATTGTTGGCACCACTTTAAATGATTTGAACGATTTGTATAAGGCTAGGACTTTGAACAAGGCTGAGTTAATTATGAATGATCCCAGCCATCCCTTGCAGAATGTTTTTAAGTTGCTTCCTTCTACTCGTAGATATTATTTGCCTTTATGTAGGACTAATAGATTTAAAAATTATTTTATACCAGCTGCCATTAGCTTCTTAAATTATAAATAATTTTATGTATACTATTAATGGAAGTCATTGTGTGTTTGTTTGTGTTGTGGTTGCTTGTTTGTTGTTTGCATATGGTTTACTGTTGGCTGTAAAACAAATTGCCCTTTGGGGATAATAAAGTTGACCTTTTTGTTGAAACTTTTTGTTGAAGCGTCATTTTTATTAGCTCCGGATTTTAAAATTCCAGATAGAATACCTGCACCACTATTACAACTACTTTTGGGGTGGTTCTTTGATTTGAGAAGGAAGTTTAGATGAAGTGTCTTCCTCTGAGGCATTGCTAAATAATCCAGACAAGAAAACTTTTTGTGCTGAAACTTTTTGATCTTTTTCTGCACCTCCATCTTCAGAGGACATAAGTTCAACTGGTTTGGCTCTCTGAATCTGTGGGCGACCTTGACTAGGTTTAATTCCAGAACGGTCTTGTTTCTGCTGTTTTGGTTTCTGATTAGGGGAAGCTTCACTCGTTGCTATTGGTTCTTCAGCTGTTGTAGTAAGTTTGCTCAAAAATCCAGATATGATGCCACTAGACTCATTTTGCTGATTGTTGGCACTTTGAACAGATATATTTGCTGGCTGATTGCTTGACTGGTGTTGTGTTACTCCTTGTGACACAGTCTGACCTTGACGTTGTGGACCTTGCATCTGGCTTCAGTCCAGCCAGATATTCTGACACAGAGTCAACTAAGTTCTGAAGTTCATCCATAGTATCATGATACTCCTTATTTGGCTTCTGCACAGGTGGCAATATTTCATCTGGGCCCCTTGTGCAATCATTTCCCATGCTGCTCTGTTGTTCATTAAAGCCTTGTGACCATGCATCATAAGAGGAAATATATCTTGCATTACTGTAGTAACTGTCATATTCATACTGTGCATTCTCTTCTACAAACAACATATCATCTAGCTCTTCTTCAGACCCAAGAGAGAACTGCATTTCATCAGATCCTGCAGACCCATATTCATTTCTTGCTCTCATCCTGGCTTCCTCTTCCTCACAATAAATTGTGTAGTTCTCAAGGGTGTCTTCAAATGAGTTCTTGGCCCACATCCTGGTTTTGTACAACAGCCCCTCTGTATATGATGCTTGGTTTGCCTTGTGAAGTTGCAAAATTGAAGGAATGATGTTTTCAGGAGGGGAAATTTCATCCTCGAAGTTTCTAGCTTCCTTATAGACCAAACGGACCTCACTGCTGCCTATGGCTGCTCTCCTGATGGGATTTCCTGATGCATCATACTCCTCAGCCTCCTCTGGGGACATTGCATCACACTGTACTGTCTGGTAAAACCGACTGTCTTTGGAGTTGATTCTATAAATTTCACTCTTGGTGTCATCATCATCACCCCACGTTTTCTGCTCTGGTTCCAGGTAATCATCCAGTATGTTGTCATTAATTTTGTATTTGATCTCCCAGTCTTCAACTCCCATACCTGAGTCCACTGGAATCATTTACCACTTGAAAATCTGGTGTGCATAAAGTGAAAGTGCCAGAAGCATGGATGAGGAGAAGAATGAACAGGAAGAGAAATGAACAAAATCATAAATTAAATTAAATTAAAGAAAGACAGAAAGATGAAAATGTATGAAACAAGTAAAATAAAAATTTTTTGGAGCTAAACTGACTGTAAAAAAAATTACTTTCTTGACTATTTTAATTCTTAAAATTTAGTTTAGAAGCAACTCTTAGATATTATTCATAGATCATATCTTGAATATGTGCATTTTGTTTTACTGCACTGGCAGATTTTTGCACACTGCCCTTGTTTTTAACAAACTTTAAACAAGAAAACAAATTTAAAAGAAAGAAGAAAGAAAGACAAAAGTATATTCAAGACATTATCTGAAAATAAGTAATAGTATCTTATTCACGGTTGCTTCCGATAATTTTAATATTGTAAATAATAACCTTTTTATTTATTTATTTTTTAAGTATTTTTAGATAATGTGTGGGTAATGGAATATTTCAATGTATGCCAAGCTGTACATGTGTTTGTGTAATCAACATACCTCTGTTCCCTTCCTTCTCTATAATCCAAGTCATAGCTCTGGATAGAGTCTGTCCTAGACTCTTTTGATAATGCCCGATTCTGTAATCTTCGGCCAATAGGGTACTGATGTACCGAGGAATTGGGTTGAGCTGTGGTGTGGTATCGTGGAGGCCTGCTGTTTGTCTCACTGCGGTAATCACTGTCCCGGTCATCCCCAGCGCTGTCGTGGTCATCAAAAGCTACATCACAACATAATCCAGAAATGAATAAAGTATGGTCAGGTAGGATGTCACCTAAAAATTAAATTAAATGAATGTAGAGACTCCAAAGACCATGCTAAAGCAGTGACAGTTGTGGTATATGCTATATTCCGGCATAAATTATTTTAAACCACATTTATAATTATTTAGGTGATAAAGGTGATGGAGATGTTATTTGTCAATTACACAGTTCTAAATACAAATCACATACACAACAAATAAATGCATGAAGTAAAAATATATGTATAATGAAGGAATGATGAATAACCAAAATAGGAAAGGAGGAATAGTGGAAAATTTCCGTTTGCAAATGCACTATACTTCATCTTGTTTTATGTACACTATTAGTCATCAGCTTGGGCAGACAAACACATTCTTTATTATTACTATTTTCCAAATGTTAAAATAATAGTAAAATGACCAATGAAAATATAATAAATAAAATTGTCATAAAATTATAGTTTTGCAACGAATAATTTTAAGAATATAAGCATTATCGAATGGTTTAAAGCCATGGTCAGACATGACTTGTCTTTGAGCATATGAAATTTCCTCAGACACTGCAACGGTCATGATATGACGTTGAGCTCTGCAGCGTCTTTTCAAAAACTTAAATTCAACAAAATGTAAAACCATACAATCTGCTCCACTTTCCTGCAATGCTGCAGTTTTACATTTCTGTTCTTTTAATTCAGCTACGAGGTCATGCTGTGATGTTTTGATCTTTTGTTGGTCACACAGTTTCATGTGATATTAGTTAGCAAGTCAGAGTTCACCAAACTTGAATTTTGTAATGCACCGAAATGCAAAACTATGCTCTGCTCTCCCACATTTGCACGTGTATGAATGGAAGCCAATGAAGGGAAAAGTCTAGTGTGACCGCCCCTTAAGATGGCAAACATAAATTCAGTCTAGTGTTTCAAAACAATTGACTGGTAGTGCATATTAGACAACTTGATGTCTTAGATTCTGGTGTATTACTAATAAATATTATATATTTTGCTTAATCACTCTCAGAATCTGTTTGCATATTTGTGTAATGTAAATTATTCATTATTCATTCTTTCTGGTGACAGAAAGAAAGAAAGAAAGAAAGAAAATAAGTGAAATGATGATTAGTTCCAACACACATTAAGTACATACTCTGCTGATCATTCCATCCAAAGTATGTCCAATTGCCTAGTGGTTTGGAGAAAGTTAAACAGCAGAAGATAGATGTAATGGTAACACTTTACAATAAGGTTCTATTTGATAACATTGATTAACTACATTAGTGAACATGAACTAACAATGAAATAAAAGTCTAAAGCATTTATTAATCTTAATGTTAATTTCATAATTTACTAATACATTATTAAAACCACAATTTGTATGTGTTAATGTTTAACAGACCTGAGCTAACATGAACTAAGAATGGATAGTTGTACTAACAAATGTTAAGAAAGATTCATAAATACTTTAACACTGACAATGAGCAATTCATTTGTTAGTCAATGCACTAACATTAACTAATAACGTCTTACTGTAAGTGTTACTCATGCAAAATATAATATAATATAAATAAAGTATTATATTATATAAATATAATATAATAAATAACAATAATATAATATATATTATATAAAATATAATAAATATATATATATTTTTTAAGATCATAAATCTACTTCTGTATTTTTTTATTACAAATTGCTATCAAGTATTTCAGTAAATTACTTCATGGTTGGGCAGGTCACCCAAAAATGAATATTCAGCAATTCATTTCTCATATTCATGTTGTTACAAATCTGTATGACATTCTTTTTCATGGAACAAGAATAAATGTTACACAGAATGTTAGAGATGTCATAGTATTCACTTCCACTCCATTATTGTTTTCATACAATGAAAGTAAATATTGACTATCATAGAGTCATTCTGCCTAACATCATATTTTATGTTCCAAGTAAAACAAGAAAGTAATAAAGGTTTAAGTTAACATGAAGGTAAATGACAGAATCTTCATTTGTTGAGTGTACTACCCTTTAAAGCAAAAGTAAATCTTGACACTTGCAATATTAATACAACAAACAGAACATAAAAGTCTGAATGTCATATAATCATCAGGGTTAACTACATCACAGCAGCTATAAACTACTGCCATCTACTGGCTTAAAGGGGACTTGTCATGTCATTTCATTTCATTTTTTCCCCACAGTAAAAGCTAAAAAGAGAATACTTACAGCACTGCGAGGGCACTGAGAGCAGCTGTCTTCTCTGTGCTTCATCTTGCAGTGAATACTATAAAAAAAATGATGGGAAATGAACAAAATGGTTAAAAGTCATGATAATACACAAAGTATTTCAGCTAACATCAGCTTACTTACCCGTGTCTGTTTTCATAAATGAGGTGAATCAAAAAGCCTAAGATAGAGGCTTACTTAAACTTGTTTTACACTGGCTAAGACAACAATAAACCATGTCTGAATCATTTGTATCTAATCAGATGTGATGTTCATGTGCTCTAATCTTACCCTCCATTGGTTATACAGCACATCTTTAAGTGGTCTTTTGACAGTAGAACTGTAAGGCCCTTGCAGTGCTCAGTGCTCACAGCAGGAGGCAGTAAAAGATCATTCTTTTAACAAAACGGCAGAATTCCAGAATTTTTTGGAGTACCAATGCAATGTTGCTGAGATCAAAATACCAAATACCTGATACAATACACAAATTCAACACAACCAAAATCACTATGTATGAAAATACAAATCTGAAGTTTATGAGGTATCTTTTTATATATTTAAGAAAAGGTTCTGAGTTTCAGGCAACAGCTGAAAATGAATTTAAAAAACCTATACAGATTTCCATTTGTAGGATATGAAAAAAAAAATCATACCTCAAATTTAAAACTCACTCATTGAATCTGAATAATGGTAACTCTTGCCCAAGTCCATCAAACTGTACATATCTATACTCCATCTAAACACACACAGTCTGTACCTCATCATGTATCCTCATAGAGTTGATGCGCTCCAGCTTTTTAGTCCAGTACTGCGCCTCATCGTCTGGGATATCTGCACAAGCAAACAAATAATACAGAAATAAGGGGAAAAGAAAGTCTGATATCTTTAGATAAAACTCCTGCTTCCACTGTTCCAATGCACCTCTCACTCCTCCCTTCCAGTTTTTCTGGCCACACAGCACTCAATTCTGTATTCAGTGTTTAATATGGCATGAGACACAGAGGTTACTGCAGGAACATCACAAATACATCAGCACACTTTGCGTCCACTCTTTTTTCCCCTCGAGATGTTCTCCATTTACGTCTCCTTACTTCTCCCAATTCATTTAGATTTTTTATATCATAAAGTGGCCCTAAAACACTTATGTCACTTAAAAATGTATGAATTTATTTTTGTGGCTACTGTATATATGGCAGTTAAAGGAACTGCTTAGAATCTGTTCTAAGAGGTTTGAGAAAAGGTAAATATAAAAATAAAATAAAATAAGGAATATTCTATTCTACTAAATTATATTCTATTATATGTGGACTACCGAAAGGGAGCTCAAAGCGTGTGTCCAGCAGCACTTGGTGAGGAGTGGGGTTTTTAGTGCCATATATCTCATCTTCCTTCATCAGAACCTCAGAATCCAGTGAGGTCCATTCTCCAGGCCCCTCCTAAAGAAAGAGAGAGAGAGAGACCTGTAAGACTCCTTTGACGGTATTTGTTTCACAAGAGTATGTGCATTTTCCATTTATAAATTCATGAGGGCCACATTAACTAATTCAACTACATTTTTATATTTTCTGCAGAAAATGTGAGTGGGCGCCAACACACCTCTAGGCTGAATACCAGTCCATTACCCATAATAACACTTTCTCAAGTGAAAACATCTATCCCTTGTTGTCCTCTCACATCAAAATCCACTGACAGATTTTAGAAGTGTTTTGAACTGCTTTCATTTGTAAACAGTTCTTGATCTGTGCATTTTTCTTTCTTGATTCAGATGATAACTTTTTCAATGAACAAAGCAATATTATAGCAATATTATATTATATTATATATTTTAGCCAGAAGCAACGGCTTGAAGTTATAAACATCTTAATGAAGCTTTTTGCTTCACAAGATATTAATTGATGGACTGGCGTCATGTGGGTTACTTGTGGATTACTGTGATGTTTTTATCAGCTGTTTGGACTCTCATTTTGATGGCACCCATTCACTTCTGTTGAAGAAACAAACACTTCAACATCTTGGATGGCCTAAGGGTACATTTTCAGCACATTTTAATTTTGGGCTGAATTATTCCTTTAATTGACTGCCTTTGACTGATACCCTGGGGTTATTCCAGAACTGCCTAGTTGGAAGCAATTCCAACAGGCATTGTTTTCATCATTCTCACCATTTGCACTGCATTCCCCACCCACCTCAGCTCCGGGCATGACTCAGATGGTCTTAACTTCTTGTGTGAAACAAGATGGGAGTGGCACTTTCATGCCTCACCAGAAAGACAGCTGAGATGTGTGACTGTTGAGGGTGTATTCTCTTCATTCCGATTGGCTGGTGGTGCCGACTAACCTCATCTGATTGGCGTATGGTGTTAAGTGGGATCCATGCTGTTCCTATCAAGGTGTCCCAGATAAGCCCTTTATTCCACACCTCCACAACCAGACCCAGGTCCAGACGATTAATCTCACTTGGGCCACAGATAGAGATACAGAAATAGAGATCAGACCATCATCAAACATGAAGAAGAAATGCAACAATTCTGAAATCTCCAAATTCACCCACACCTCTCTGTGAGTTCAAGACACTTCATCAGTGTCCTTTAGGGGAGAGTCTAAAAATAGCTTTACCAACGGTGGGTGAATTGAGAAAATGTACCGGGCATAACTATTTCGTACAGATCATAAAATTTTTATTTTGAATTATTAATGGTACATTTTTGGAATGGAATTATGTGGTTGGGTTTTCTTGTATATTGGTAGATTTTTTTGCACCCTCAGATTCCAGATTTTCAAATAGTTGTATCTCGGCCAAATATTGTGCTATCCTAACAGCTTTCAGATGATGTATAAATCTCAATTTCGAAAACGTGACCCTTATGGACTGGTTTTGTGGTCCAGGGTCACATACAAGAAAAGGTTCTGAGATATTTTTTTCAAGCAATAGCTGACACTGAACCCAAAAAAACTATATAGACTTCAATTTGTTGGATGTGGGGGGAAAAAAATCACCCAAATACAAAATAAAATATGTTAAATTCATATTTAAAATATGAAATTCACCATAATTCCAATCTAAAAAAAATGAATAGTGGTAACTCTTGTCCATTCCCATCAAATTACCATGTTATTCTACTGTACATATTCATGCATCTCTACTCCATCTAAACACACAGTCTGTACCTCATCATGTATCCTCATAGAGTTGATGCGCTCCAGCTTTTTAGTCCAGTACTGCGCCTCATCGTCTGGGATATCTGCACAAGCAAACAAATAATACAGAAATAAGGGGAAAAGAAAGTCTGATATCTTTAGATAAAACTCCTGCTTCCACTGTTCCAATGCACCTCTCACTCCTCCCTTCCAGTTTTTCTGGCCACACAGCACTCAATTCTGTATTCACAGTGTTTAATATGGCATGAGACACAGAGGTTACTGCAGCAACATTACAAATACATCAGCACCCTTTGCTTCCACTCTTTTTTCCTCAGATCCTCCATTTACGTCTCCTTAATTCTCCCGATTCATTTAGATATTTTATATCATACAGTGGCTCTAAAAAGTAATTAAGTCACTTAAAAATTTATGAATTTAGTTTCGTGGCCACTGTATATGTGGCAGTTAAAGAAACTGCTCAGAATCTGTTCTAAGAGGTCTGAAAAAAGGTAAATCTAAAAAGAAAATAAAAAAGGCATATTCTATTCTATCATATGTGGACTACCAAAAGGGAGCTCAAAGCGTGTGTCCAGCAGCACTTGGTGAGGAGTGGGGTTTTTAGTGCCATATATCTCATTTTCCTTCATCAGAACCTCAGAATCCAGTGAGGTCCATTCTCCAGGCCCCTCCTAAAGAAAGAGAGAGAGAGAGACCTGTAAGACTCCTTTGACGGTATTTGTTTCACAAGAGTATGTGCATTTTCCATTTATAAATTCATGAGGGCCACATTAACTAATTCAACTACATTTTTATATTTTCTGCAGAAAATGTGAGTGGGCGCCAACACACCTCTAGGCTGAATACCAGTCCATTACCCATAATAACACTTTCTCAAGTGAAAACATCTATCCCTTGTTGTCCTCTCACATCAAAATCCACTGACAGATTTTAGAAGTGTTTTGAACTGCTTTCATTTGTAAACAGTTCTTGATCTGTGCATTTTTCTTTCTTGATTCAGATGATAACTTTTTCAATGAACAAAGCAATATTATAGCAATATTATATTATATTATATATTTTAGCCAGAAGCAACGGCTTGAAGTTATAAACATCTTAATGAAGCTTTTTGCTTCACAAGATATTAATTTATGGACTGGCGTCATGTGGGTTACTTGTGGATTACTGTGATGTTTTTATCAGCTGTTTGGACTCTCATTTTGATGGCACCCATTCACTGCAGAGGATCTATTGTCAAGTGATGTAATGCTGAATTTCTCCAAATCTGTTGAAGAAACAAACTCTTCAACATCTTGGATGGCCTAAGGGTACATTTTCAGCACATTTTAATTTGGGGCTGAATTATTCCTTTAATTGACTGCCTTTGACTGATACCCTGGGGTTATTCCAGAACTGCCTAGTTGGAAGCAATTCCAACAGGCATTGTTTTCATCATTCTCACCATTTGCACTGCATTCCCCACCCACCTCAGCTCCGGGCATGACTCAGATGGTCTTAACTTCTTGTGTGAAACAAGATGGGAGTGGCACTTTCATGCCTCACCAGAAAGACAGCTGAGATGTGTGACTGTTGAGGGTGTATTCTCTTCATTCCGATTGGCTGGTGGTGCCGACTAACCTCATCTGATTGGCGTATGGTGTTAAGTGGGATCCATGCTGTTCCTATCAAGGTGTCCCAGATAAGCCCTTTATTCCACACCTCCACAACCAGACCCAGGTCCAGACGATTAATCTCACTTGGGCCACAGATAGAGATACAGAAATAGAGATCAGACCATCATCAAACATGAAGAAGAAATGCAACAATTCTGAAATCTCCAAATTCACCCACACCTCTCTGTGAGTTCAAGACACTTCATCAGTGTCCTTTAGGGGAGAGTCTAAAAATAGCTTTACCAACGGTGGGTGAATTGAGAAAATGTACCGGGCATAACTATTTCGTACAGATCATAAAATTTTTATTTTTAATTATTAATGGTACATTTTTGGAATGGAATTATGTGGTTGGGTTTTCTTGTATATTGGTGGCTAACAGTATAGTTAATTGTGTCTCTTATAACATCAAGTTTAAGCCATCTAATGTTTGCTTCAGTAGATCATCCCTATGTACATACATACATGATTTCATATCTGTATAAATTTGCATATAACTTTATATGTTCTAGCACACCTGTACATACAATTTATTCTTTTTTTTTGTGGTTTATATTTATGCATGTGTATTTTATTCACATCTCACTTTTATTATCTGTGTGTTGTTGTTGTCTCAGTGTACTGGAAGCTTGTGACACTATAACAAATTCCTTGTATGTGCAAACATACTTGGCAATAAAGCTCTTTCTGATTCTGATTCTGATTCTGATGTTCATGTTGTTTATGTCAGAGTTAAAAGTGTAGTTCACCCAAAAATGAAAACTTTTGCTTTATTTACTCTTTGGTGTGCCATTCCAAGCCTGTTTGACTTGAAAAATTCACATGACCCACTTTAAGACAGTTACATGGTGCTTTTATCCCCCAATCAGCCCCATCATTCACTTTAACGGATTTAAAAAGCAAATTTAAAAAAATAAATGAATAATGATAAAAAAGAAAGTAATACGGGTTAGAAACTAAATGAGGGTGGGTAAATAATGACAGAATTTTCATTATTTAGGGGTGAAATAATTCAACTTACTCAAAGACAGTCTATTTTGGACCCTGCTTTAGGGTTAACACATGGATAAAAAGAACGGACCAAAAGAAAGAAACGGGGGCCAGATTGTACATTTTACATCCTAGCCTGTACATTTTAATATTAGAAACATTACTAATAGAAATAGTTATATTTCATATATGCCAGATATATTATAATTTTTTTATGCAATGACTCTGGATAATTGATTTTAAGAATAGAGATCACGGTTTGCCCAAAATTCTGAAAATAAAACATTAGACAACCAAACAAAATAATATGTAGGGTTAATTTACTTGTGTCAGGCTTGTGTTGTGTTTTGTTCCCCATGTGCTCCCTGTGTCCCAGTGTTTATGCCCATATTTGGTTAGTTTCCTGTTCCTGTCCTGATTAAATTCCAGGTGTTCCCCATTTAATTCCATTGATCCCAGGTGTGTCTCGTCATCTCCTCGTCTTGTCATGTGTTTAAATAGTGTTCCCTGTTTTTAGTTCAGCGTCCGGTATTGTTCATGTCTACGTGAGTTTTCTGTGTTTCCTTTAAGTTATTAAAAGTCTCTGGATTTATGTACTCCACGTCTCCCTCCGTTCCTTGTTCGGCACTCCACTCAGTAGTGCAACCGTGACAACTTGAGGTTCTGACAAAATGTTTTATTTAATGTTATAAATGAGTCTATTTACAATGGGGAAAATATTTATTTGATCCCCTGCTGATTTTGTAAGTTTGCCCACTTACAAAGAAATGAAGGGTCTGTAATTTTTATGGTAGGTTTATTTTAACAGATAGAGACAGAATATCAAACAAAAAATCCAGAAAAAAACACATTATATAAAGGTTAGAAATTGATTTGCGTTTCAGTGAGTGAAATAAGTATTTGATCCCCTACCAACCAGCAAGAATTCTGGCTCCCACAGATTGGTTATGTGCCCATGTGGAACACAGATTAGTCCTGCCACTTTAAAGGGGTCATATGATGTTGCTAAAAAGAACATTATTTTGTGTATTTGGTGTAATGAAATGTTTATGTGGTTTAAGGTTAAAAAAACACATTATTTTCCACATACTGTACATTATTGTTTCTCCTCTATGCCCCGCCTTTCGTCGATTTTTACGACACATCAGAATATTTGGGTTGAACTGTTCTGGAACAGTGTTGTAAATACAACTTAACCACTGATTTCTAGTTGTGTCCTCTTTTGGAAGGCCAAACAAAGAGCTGCAAAAGGCTTAAATGGGCTACAAGTCCATCAGCAAGAAGCTTGGTGAGAAGGAGACAACTGTTGGGTGCGATTATTCGGAAATGGAAGAAATACAAAACAACCATCAATCGGCCTCGGTCTGGAGCTCTGTGCAAGATATTGCCTCAAAGAAATACAAAACAACCATCAATCGGCCTCGGTCTGGAGCTCTGTGCAAGATCTTGCCTCATGGGGTAAGAATGATCATGAGAAAGGTGAGGGATCAGCCCCGAACTACACCGGAGGAGTTTGTTAATGATCTTAAGGCAGTTGGGACCACAGTCACCAAGCAAAACATTGGTAGCACACTACGCCGCAATGGACTGAAATCCTGCAACGCCCGCAAGGTCCCCCTGCTCAAGAAGGCACATGTACAAGCCCATTTAAAGTTTGCCAATGAACATCTAAATGATTCAGAGAAGGCTTGGGAAAAAGTGCTGTGGTCAGATGAGACCAAAATTGAACTCTTTGGCATTAACTCGACTCGCCGTGTTTGGAGGGAGAGAAATGCTGACTTATGACCCCAAGAACACCATCCCTACAGTCAAGCATGGAGGAACTGGAAAATCTTGGACGAG